GCTCATTGGCTTCGGCCAGCAGGACCCCCACCTCCGCCAGAAGCTGCACTGCCCAGACGTCGCCGACAAGGCCAAGCTTCCGAGAGCAACAGCAGCTCTTCAGAGTCGTTTACTCCTCCTGTCCGGCGAGCCAAGAGAGAGCTCATTGAGGCCTTTGTTTCCCTTGAACGCCGACAGCGCATCGCAGAACTTGAGCAGTTGGACCTTCGACCCATTGCCGCCTTGGGGAGACACGTGTTTCAGGGAGCACAACTCATGCAGTGGCAACGGACAATCGAGGATCAGCCACGCGGGGTCTGGGATGACGATGATCAGGTTTCCGATGATGGAGCTGACTTGGGGGGCATGGAGTTTAGAGAAGGCGCATTGCGCGCTTTGCAGAACTCACTGGTCATTTTGTGGCGGCAGCAACTGGCCCAGGAAGATCCTCAGCTCACGCAGCGGCAGTTGGGTGGGCGCCAAGGCGCATACACGCGCAGCATTCGCAGGGCAGATTGGCGTGGGACCTGCCGGTCTGCGCAACTCAGCCTGGATGCAGCACATTGGAGACGTTGGCTGGAACAAGTCCGCGCGGCACATGCCATGGATCATCAATGATTGCTTTCGTGAATGTGGCCGAGCCAGAGCTCACCGCGCCCAGCTTTTCCAATGGCCTCACGTAGGACTGCGAATCTTGAGCTACCTCCTTAGTCACCCCGCCTTAACTAGGGCCCAACGCGTGCATGTTGCCATAGGACATGTTGGACATGACGACTTCGTGCGCACGACAAGGCGTGTGAGGCCGCAGACGGTCTTCACAGGCACGTCGCACTGCTACCGTAAGGACCCCAATACGCACCCTCTCATAAATGCCCGACATAAGACCCAAGATAAGCCTAGGAACCCGAATGACACCAAACACCCCCGAACAGGGCGTGCAACGCTGGCGCACAGCCGGCCCGGTCCCAAGTCCGGGCATCGTACCCTAGCCGTGCTTTTTCATCTAGTAGGGGTACGGGGTGCGATTGGTGCGAGGGTTGCCTCCACTGCTGTGGTGGAGGTGGGACCCGTCACTGCGGTGGCGGGGAAGCAACACAGCCGAGCACTGAGCATGCAACTCACCACCACAGCGCCAAGACCTTCCGAGAAACGCTCCTTTCGCCGTGCAAGGCTCCGAGCCGCCAAAGCTGGGGGCACCTATTACCGGGGCCGCTGGCATACAGCTTCGAGTCTCCAAGCACTGCCCTACAAGCCAAACCCGCCTAAGCCCAGGTCGCTGGCTCAGCAGACTCGCAGCAGGCCGTCCAGGACTGGACAACTGCACTGCCTTAGTTGGAATGCAGGCGGTCTGAGCGCAGACGTGTATCAAGAGTATATGGCATGGGTAGAGGCACAGGGGTGTTATCATATACTGGTTGTGCAGGAAACCCATTGGAAAAGCAGCTGCGAGTTCCTTTCAGGTCGTTGGGTATGCATTCATAGTGCCCCCGCATCAGACCAACCTGCCACTGACAGGTTTGCGGGCCTACTGATCTTGCTTTCCAGACGACACTTCAAGGACCCGTGGGTTAGTGAGGTTGTTAAGGGTCGGGTGCTGCACGTTCGAGCGCCGCACGTGCAGTCGAACATGGTCGTAGACATACTCGCCACGTACCAGCATGTCTGGCGCAGTCATCTGTCATCGCAAGAAAACCGTGCCTTAAGAGCCGAAATCTGGGACGCTATGGAGGCCACACTTCAACAGATCCCAGCAAGAAATCTGCTCATAGCTTGCGGCGACTATAATTCTAGCCTGCGGCCACAAACACCTTACGTCGGCCCAGCAACGGGGTCGACAGCATCTGCCGGTATGTGCGATGATAGTCTAATGCGCCTCATTGCCAGACAAGATTTATGCGTGCTCAACAGCTGGCACGCCCGCCCAGCACACACATACTTTAGTCACACAGGCACGTCGCAGATTGACTTCATCCTCACACGCAGGAGTACCGCACTCGGTGCGAGTCGACAAGCGAGACCCTTGATTAACTTCCCGGTCGCGGGATGGAGGCAGAGTGGACACTACCCTCTCCAGGCTCAACTCCCAATGGTGCCTGTGTATCGCCGAGCAGGCACGGGGACTGCCACAGAGACCCAGTGTGACAAGCAAGGCCTCATTGAAGCCATTAGCAACAAAACGCAGGCTGCGGATGAGCTACAACAGCTCGTGGGCTCACGCCTGAGCCAGGTCCACACCTTGGACCCGCATCAGTTGCATGACCAGGTCAACCAAGTCCTGCTCAAATGCATCTGCCAGGTGTTTCCTCCGCGGCCCAAACAGGATGGACGTGTCAGTGCGCAGGCCCCGTACAAAGCCTCAGCCAGAGAGACTTGGAGGCTCTACGCCGCTTTGCGTAGGCCCCGAGTGGCCACAATGGCCGCCGTGCTCCACAAGTGGAAGCTTTCCTGGGCTTTTGCCAGGGCTTCAAGGGCCTTACGGCAGCAAAGCAGGGATCTCAAACGGGCTGCCTTCCAAGACAAGCTCGCGCAGGCGGAGGCTGCAGCTGCGCGGGGAGACCAGCGGGTTCTGAACCAAATCGTGCGGTCCTTGACGCCGTCCTCTGGTCGCTTCTTCTCTAGACTGCGGAATGAACAGGGGCAGTTCCTCACCAAAGAGATGGAGGTACAGGCTCTCGTCAGGCAGGGCAAAAGCACATACGCACAGTACCCTGACCAACCGATTAAGCGTAACCTCACTGCCTCCCTTGAAATTAGTGACCAGGAGATGTCGGAGCAACTGCGCTCCCTGCAGGCGGCCAAGGCGGTCCCGAGTCACATGGCACCGGCCGCGGCATGGAAAGCATGTGCACATCACGTAGGTCCTCTGTTCGGGGCTGCTTTTCGTGCACATCTGGGGGCCGGGAGGCCGGGTCTCCTGCGCGATGACCTTACCGATTGTCAGATGGTCATGCTCCCCAAGCCGGGGAAACCTGGACACCTCTTAGAAAACCTTCGGCCTATTGGCCTCATGGGGCCACCCTCCAAGGCTTTGGCGGGAGTCCTTCGGAATCGCATGACTGAATGGCTGCAGCCGCTACTGCGCTACCGGCCCCAATTCGCCTACACGGCCAATCGTGGCACCATGGATGCGCTGTTGCGCATACACTGGCATGTGAGTGAAGCCACCGAGCTCTTCCGCTCCAACAGGATTGACCGCTTTGGGCTTCACCGGGGCAAGCGTCCGCTTGATCTCGCCGGGGCACTCAGTTTGTCTCTGGACCTCAGTCGTGCTTTTGACCTGGCCGATCGTCCGTGCATTTACAACACACTGGCGAAGCACGGAGTACCGCCTGAGGTCATTGAGGTTGCACAAAGGCTGCATACGGGGGCACGGTTCACGTATCGTGCGGGCTCGTGCCAGGACAGTTTTGTACCCACAAACGGTCTCAAGCAGGGTTGCAAAGTAGCTCCGAGCCTTTGGGTCTGGTACACCATTGCCTTGATGGATGCTCTAGCCGATCGCCTCTCGGAACACTGGGTTCGACACATCCTGACAATTTTCGCCGACGATTGCTGGGCTAGCTGGTTGCTTCGCTCACTCGGTGACCTTCACCATGCACTCCGCGAGCTGCAAATCCTGCTCTGTACGCTAGAGGATTTTAAGATGAAAATCAATTTCTCTAAGACGGCGATTCTCTTGAAGCTCGTAGGAAAGCAGGCCCGACATGCCCTTCATGACCACACTTGCATGAAGAATGGGATCAGACATCTTCGGGTCCTGGTACACGGCACCGAAAGACTAATCCCCATCAAGGTGGAACATGAGTATCTAGGCTCACGGGTGGGTTACCACAACGCGGTGGACAGCAATACTGACCACAGACTGCAGGCTGGGCACAGCAAATTTCTTGCCCTCCGGCGCACCCTAACGGGGCACCATGCCATTACTCAGCGGCATCGAGTCCGGCTGTGGGCTGCCTGCGTTAGCACTAGCTACATGTACTCGCTCAGTTCCATCGGGGTCACTGCCAAGGGTAGGCAAGGTCGAGACACGAGCCGTCAAGCATCTGCGGGCCATTCTCCGACTCCCTGCCCACCTGACCCGTACCACAAATGAGGCCATCTGGCGGCGCGCTGGGGTTGTGCCGGCAGGACAGCAACTGCTGCTACAGATGCAAAAGATGCAGCACAAACTTGAGCAGAGAGCGCATGATTCGCCAGACATAACCACCGAACCCGACATAATAGGCCATATACAAGGATTGACCCGCCAAACCCAGTTGTTGGTTGAGCGCAGTTCGGTAGCCACGCAAGTGACAGAAACACCCCAGGCCTCTTACCCCTGCGCATACTGCCAGGAGAGCTTCAGCACCGAACACGCCCTGCGCATCCACTGCGGGGTGAAGCATCAGGACTGCGTATCTGCCAAGGCCCGCAAGGAGTATCAGTTCGATGCCGCTGTTCACTCGGTGGGGGGGCTACCGCACTGCCGCCTCTGCGGCAGGCGATTCACCAAATGGCAATTTTTGAAGCACCACATTGAGGCAGGGACTTGCGAGGCATTAGGAGGAGGCAGCTTCACGCACAAACCTAGTGCGGAGGTCGAGCTGCGACCGGAGCCAGAGGCATTCTCCGTGCCGCCCGAAAGGGGCGCCGATCCCTCGCAGCAAAACCTGCCACTTGTGCGTCAGCCCTTCTTCTTGTGTGCCCTGCATAGATGGGACAGCATGCTATCAAACTCTGCCATCCGGGAGCAACTGAAGGCTCACTGCGTGATCTGTCATATGTGGGTAGTAGACCACAAACACGTCAAACAGCATCAACGCAGAACCCATGGAACGGAGCTACAGCCTTTGCAAGACAGGATTCTCCAGAGGTGCAGGTCCTTTAAGAGCCAGCTCACGAGAGGGCGTGCTTGTCCTTGGTGCAGTCACCGCGTGTCAGCTCCAGGCCGGCACAGCGAACAGTGCACAGTCTTGTACCA